TGGTCAAGGTGCTTGGCTGCCAACCAGAGATTTATGATTCAAAGCTCCCAGCAGCTCTGGGCAGAGAGCTGTGGCTGTCTGCTCCTGTGAGTACTTACAGCCATGGAAACCCCAGTGGATCTCCATGATTACATGTATGAGTTAACTTGACAGCCAACGGTTATGAGTAAGGCTTGCAGAGTGATTTGCTCTCTTACTGCCATCTAATAAAATACTCCCCAAACTTTGGGCCCATAAAACCATTTATCATCTGTCATGGACTGTAGGGCTCAGGTGCTAGTGTTCACTTGGAAGCGCTCTGGCCGCTGCATCCAAGCTGATAGACTTTAGTTGTGTGAAGGTTTGACTGGACTGGATATTCAATATGGCATTTGATACTAGATGTTGACTGGGAGTCCTGGTGGTACAGTCATTAAATACTGGGCTGCTGCCAAAAGGTCAGTAGTTTAAACCTACTGACGACCATTCTGTCCATAAACATTACTTGGAGGATCCTCTCTGGTTTTCTATGAGTGGTGTCACCGTCATCATCAAAAAGGACATTTCAAAATCTACCTTGAAATACAATACTATCTGTGATAGGATACTATCTATCTGCATACCAGGCAATCCAATCAATACACCATTTATTGAAATTTACACACCAACCACTAAAGCTAGTGCTGCAGAACTTGAAGAATTCCACCTATGTCTTAAATCTGAACTTCATCAAACAAATGATCAAGAAGCACTAATAATTATTGTTGATTGGAATGCAAAGGTTGGAAACAAAGAGGAAGGAACAGTCGTTAGAAAATATAGTCTAGATGACAGAATTTTGCAGTACCAATCAATGACTTCCTCACTGCAAATATCTTTTTCCAACAACACAAATGGTGACTATTCACATTGATTTCTCTAGATGGAATACACACAAATCAAATTGACTGCCTCTGTGGAAAGGTTTGATGGAGAAACAATATCAGCAGCTGAAACCAGGCCAGGGACTCACTGTGAAACAGTCTATCAATTGCTCTTACGTAAATTCAGGTTGAAGCTGAAGAAAATTAAAACAAATCTAGGAGAGCCCAAATCCAACCTTGGGTATATTCTGCCTGACTTTTGAGTACTTTTCAAGAACAGATAGGATGCATTAAATACTAATGACTGGGATCTCTGTTGGTGTAGTGGTTATGCCTTGCCTGCTAACCGCAAGGTCAGCAGTTTGAAACCACCAGCTGCTCTGTGGGAGAAAGATGAGGCTTTCTACTCCCATAAAGAATTCTAGTCTTAAAAAAAAAGAATTCTAGTCTTGAAGACCTACAATGGACAGTTCTGCCCTGTTCCAAAGGGTCATCGTGAGTTGGAATTGGCTCAATGTCCGCGAGTTTGGTTTTTGGTGTTATATGCATATGGACATGTTGTCAAGAGACCAGTCCCTGGAGAAGGACATCATTTTAGTAAAGCAGAGGGGCAGCGATACAGAGGAAGGCCTTTAATAAGATGGACTGACACAATGGCTGCAACAATGTGCTCACACACAAGAACAATTGCGAGGATGGCCCAGGACCAGGTAGTGTTTTGTTCCATTGAACATAGGGCCGCTGTGAGGCAGACCGGACTAGCCTGCACATTAACAACAAGAAGTCTTGTTGGGATGCCCTCAAAAGAAGGTCTGATCAAAACAGTGGCTTCTGAGGGTGTCTTCTAGGCTGGTTAAATACACAGCACAGAGGTCAACTCAGAAGGTTATAGAGACTGTTTGGGGGAATTCCAAAGGGGAACTCCCTTTGGAATTGATAGGTTTTCATGAAGGGTACAGGACTATTAGGCCAGTTTAATATGAAAAAAGTTACAAGAAAATTGAAAGTTTCACTGGGGAGAAAAAGGCCAGGGAATTTATATCGAGGACTTTTTTCTCATCATGACAATGCACTTATTCATTCTTCCAGGGTAGCAACGGCTGCTCTGTAACGATTTCCTTGGGAAACCTTACTCCATTTGTTCTACAGCTCTGAGCTTGCCCTTTCTGATTTCTTCTTGTTCTCTAAATGCAAAGAACATCTAACGAGACACAATTCAAGTTCCTGGAGGATGAGGAGACTCTTGTTTTCAAGTGGTATAAATCAAGGAACACAGAATCATCTGACTGGGTGGGAGGGTAGGGACGTTGTTGTTAGGTGCCCTGGAGTTGGCTCTGACTCAGCTACGCTTATGTACAACAGAACCAGACACAGCCTGGCCCTGCACCCGTCTCACTATTCTTGCCATGTTTCAGTCCATTTTTGCAAGCACTGCATTAATCCATCCCACGGAAGATCTTCCTATTTTTTGAGTGACCTTCTATTTGGCCAAGCTTGATGTCCTTCTCCAAGGACTGATCTCTTCTGATGAATTTGCCAACTAGATGAGAGAGGAATTCTCACCACCCTCATCTTTGTGGAGCATTCTGGCTGTACTTTCCCCAACACAGCTGTTTGTTCTTCTGGCAGTCCGTGGTACTTCTAATATTCTTCACCAATGGTATAAAACAAAGTGGTTGAATTGAGATGATTGAAAATACCATGGCTTGGGTCAGGCACATCTTAGTACTTAGTACGTGACACCTTCTCTTTAACTCTTTAAAGAGGTCTTTTGCAGTAGATTGGTCCAATGGGATACATCCTTTGATTTCTTTCCTGCTGATTCCATGAGTATTCATTGTGGATCCAAGTAAAACAAAAAACCCTTGACACTTCAGTTTTTTCTCCCTTTATCATGATGCGATCTGTTTGTCCAGTTGTGAGGGTTTTTGTCTACATTGAGTTGTAATCTGTAATCACGGCTGTAGTCTGAACTTCATCAGAAAGGGCTTCAGACCTCTTTGCTTTCAGCAAGTATGATCTGTCTTTCATATGTTATCAACGACTTTCTCCCAATTCTAATGTGGACTTCTTCATTTACTCCAGCTTCTTGGATTATTTGCACATCATACAAATTGAGTATGGTAAAAGAATACAACCCTGACACATCCTTTTCCTGGTTTTAAACCATGCAGCGCCCCTTTGGTCCATTAGAATGACCACCCATGGTCTATGATGTACAGGTTCCACATAAGCAACATTAAACATTTTAGGATTTCCATGCTTCTCAGTGTTACCTAGTTTGTTAGGATCCACTCAGTGGAACACCTTTGACACACTGCCTTCCCAAGTGCATGGCCCTGGATGAAGGATATGTTCCTACAGAGTCGCACGTTTGGGTAATTTTGTTTCATAACGGTTACTATGATTTTACAGCAACACATTTTGACCTACTTTGGGCTAAGGAAGAGAGGACTGTTAGGAATGTCTGCTTTCATCCCTAGAATTTAGAAGATTAGAGGCCTCTTGCCCTTAGATTTCCGTGAAATCAATTATATGACCAAGCTGGCTTTAATCGCCCCTACCCAAAATAAATTGCCCTTCCCTTTTTCCAAGGTCAACTCAGACTATGACATCATTTCCTACTAATTTAGCTGTTGGAAAACTAATTCATGGTCATGTTGCCGGGGAGAACCTAACAAAGGAGATGGTAAGCGGTTCCCATATTCCTCCCCTCTCTAGTTGACCTAGTTCTATCCCACTCCCCTGTTCGTATACTGAACACTGCCATCAAGGACCTACACCCGAAACCCACCAACACTGGGGTCCCTCGATGGTCTATTTTGCCTGAAAACGACAAATGGCTGAGTCTAGGTGACATAAATAACTCTTGGAGGCTGGGAGCCAGGGGACCCTAAACACGGAAGGGTTACAAATCCGGGCTTCGAAATGGGCCGGTGGCGCTAGGAAATCTTAAAGGGGGATTCAATTTCTCCCTCGTCACGTGCCACGTGGGAGTCGGTGGTCGCCCCGAGCCAATGCCCGAGTGGCAGCCTCGGGCTGCGAAGTCTCAGCCAGCGCATCCTGCCTTTGGATGGTTCCATCCGCGGTGGACAGCGACACTGCCGGAATGTCCCCGAATTTCCCCAGGGGGTCTCTCCCTCGGGTCGCAGGGACGTTTCTGGGCTCACCTGGGGGTGATTCGGCGAAGCACGATGCTTGCTAAGTGGCTGCGCCTGGAGCAGCGCCGTCCTGCGGCGTGCGCACTCGGGCCACGGCACAAAAGCCGGGGTCAGGAGCCCGGCTCTGGCGTTTCCGGCGGGAAGACGTTGAGCCAGAGCCCCGAGGGTCCCGGCCCCGGGCATGTTGGCCAGGCTCCTGGGCTCCCTGCGCCGGACTCTGCCTCG